ATCGCGAAGGGACGCACTCAGAGCTGGAGCAGAAGTCGTCAAGCAGGTCACTTATCGAGAGAATTCTTATCAGCTTAATTCCTTCGTGTACTGAATTTTTTAGAGCTTCGAGTATTGTGAATTGAATGTTTTTTTCCACTTCCACGATGTCAAATTGTAGTCTCATCAAAAAAGCTTCACTGTACAGGTTGAATCCCCGTTATTGAGCGGCCTCCTTTATCCATTACTGCAAGCAATGGATGAGCAATATTTGAAAGTTGATGGACAATTCGGCGGTTTGGATCAGCGAAAAATTTTCATTTTGGCCGAGGAGCAATTGCCGAAACTGAAATTGGGTAAACGTTTCCATTTGATGAATCCAATGGTTCCCGGCCTGCATGGCTCAAAAATGAGCAGGCATGTTTGTTCGATTGATTCGCATTCACTTGTTCGTCTTGGTGTAAATATTTAGTAGGAAATTTTTATGTTGGTTTGGTGGAAAATTTTTTATCTTAATGAATGATCTGCAGAGAGCAAGATTACTATCTATCGGATTTTCCTTGAATAATATTTCTGATACAAATTATTACTTGTACAGTTTTGATTTCTTATCTTTGTGGATATGTGAGTGGCGGCTCAGTGAATTGAATTTGATTTTGAATTTACAGCTCTGTGGAGAATTCTAAAATTGATTTGTTGGATCCGCATGATGTGATTATTGCTAAATTGGATGGAGCGTTATGTGAACGAGGCAATCCGGAGAATGGAGTTTTAGCGTTCTACGAGCATGTTTTAATGCCGTTGTCAACACAGAATCCTGTTTTGGTTGGTGGCCACTCGTTTACAGAATTCGCCGAGCTGAAGGAACGATTCGAAGCAGGCGACATTCAAGAAACGGACTTGAAGAACACTATGAAAGTTGGTGTTTTTCGTTCAAAACAAAACAAGTCTTTAGATATTCATCTATTTATTCACTGCAAGTGTTTGTAATATTAGTGGTGAAGTGGAAGTGTTCTAATTGTTGAATTGAGGTGGATAGGTTCAATTCCTTTCGCGGTAGCAACACTGCATACTCTAATACGTTTGCGGCTCGTAATTTTGACTGCAGATGTGCGACGTATGCAAAAGTAAATCCCAAGTTTCATTAGCAAACGTTTCTAGCGACAGTATGAGTTCAATAGCTTTACAGTCGATCCCGTTTGTGAAACACAAATTTTATTTGTTTAGAGAGTTGCGAGTTCAATTTTTTCACCTTGAACATCATTTTCGCTGGCGAAATCAATAGTCGAAGTTAGAGTTTGATTAAGGCGAATGATCTTGGCGCATAATCGTTAGCTGTTTGTGAAGAAGAATATCAAGAAAGGAACGGTGTGATATTAGTGAAACTTATTTACTTAATCAAGAATTAAAACTCATAAACTTCTATGAGTTTTAATTCTTGATTAAGTAAATAAGTGATCAAATCATATGAAATAAATTGGTTTGCTGAACCGGCCACTGTAATTGTACTAGAACTTGTGTAAATGGCTGAAGGGAAGTAAATATTTTTTATCCAAGACTAACAAAGGTAAAACATATCCGCAAATCAGTGGAGAGAAATGTAACTGCTGATCAGTGGGGATTTTGGCGCAGTGGAGTTATGGTAGGCTGCTGCACAATAGGTTCCAAGTTCAATGCCGCCATTGGTCACTCCTAGAAGCATACTTCTCTAGTCCGTTACAGTTTGAAATGTAAGTGTAACGGTTCATTGTATGCGATAGAAACAGCGAGCACACCCATTCACTGTGACAGCAGTAAGCATTGTTACATGGAGTAGTTGAGTTCGGACATTTCTTTATGTTTTTGAAAGTTCCGAAATGCATTTTGGGTGATATTCGCGGATTCAATAACGCCCATAATGTTGTTCTACCTTCAATGATAGCAGCAATATTGATTGTATTTGTGCTCATATTGGTTAATTTGTTTGCATTCTTGTATGACTCATTTTATTGTTGTTTCAGGAATTCCTATGCAAAGTATTGGGTTCTGTGCAGTCACAATGTCTCACTGAAGAAATGCAGCAAGTTTTATTGAAAGGCTATGCAAACGTTGAACATACTGTTTCGAAAACAACGACGAGCGCAGAACCGAAACAGGTGGATCTCAGTGAATCGCAAACGAAATTACTTGAGCGCATCACCGGAAATGATGAGGTTAGTCGTGATAAGTTCTTATCAAGCATTACGTACATCTATAGATTGATGTTAAGTGTCTGGAATGGAATGAACGAAGATTGTTTTTCTAAAAGTAAATAATTGTATGTGATTCCAAAAGGTTTTAGATTGTCACAGGGGAGTGTCACCTGAAAGAGTGTATTGCAAGTGGTCAGCCATTACATGTTATATATTCGATTGCTCCGAAAGGTCGTTTCCATCTGGGATTCGTAAAAGCATTGCTTAAATTAAGGGTACGTTGCTTTTGGAAAACACTTCCACTTCTCAGTTTTATTACGAGTGCTTATTTTTTATGTTGAATTTCAAAGTTTTCAATTTTAATCTCAATTATTGATAGTAACCCGGCCGAAGTTGGCTTAGATTTCAATGGAATTATGCATTATGACAGTTCTTTGGTAATTTGTGAAGGTCGGAATTGTGAATATGAGATTCCGACATTCCGACAGGATTAATTTCTCATTCGGATAAAAAATTAGAATCTCTGTTTTATTTGGGATCGCGTGGCGCGTTGGGTTTTTTTCTTTTTTATAAGAGAGATTATTAATATATATTTGTTGTTAAAGGACCTGCAACGTTT